ATTCAGATATCACAATTTATACAACAGTTTCACAATTCAATAATTCTGATATAGAAACTCCCGATAAGTTCGCAGATTCCGAACCATCCCCTTCTACTCATACCCAGACCAGCTCAACAATCTTCTCAAAACCTCCTTTCCCACCTATCCAACCCCAAAGTGAACATCCATCACCCTATACCCCTTCTCAGGTAACCCCAACCTACTCCCCTCTCAATAATGAACGCTCCACCAACAACTCCCCAGATAATATTCAATTTTCCGAAGAACTAGATAATTTTATAACACTTCAACAACAATTGCTATCTCCCCACACTCTAACTATTCACCAATTCTCATCAACAACAACATCATCAAATCGAACAACACCTACACCAATTTCAGATTATACTCCATCATTAGCTCATTCACCCACATCAACAGAAACATCCACCAGTACTAATGGTGCTTATCGAACCTTTAAACGCAAATTCCCAAATCACCCATTACCATCCAAACCCGGAATCGCCCGAGAATATATCAACCATCCAGACCACACCAATACTACGATCTTTCTTCAAATAACCCTATCTTTATTTCCCCAATATACACTAAATAAATCCGACCCTAACCCTGAACCACGTCACTTTGTAGATGAACATGTATTAATACCCACACTTCATTGGACAGCTTATTATAATTTCACTAACCCCCTTGAGCTACCACTCTATAACACCACTATAGATATTGAAAGAAATAAGGACGAATTATTCAGATCAACCACAGCACTCACCCCCGACAATTTACATATGTAGGATATAAAAATTATTAAAAACATTCACTGCACCCCAAGCTAACGACTTTTCGATTGAATATTTTGATCATAACATCATTAGATCTAATCAAGACAAGTTTCTTGACGACGATCAGTTTTCTAACCCACAACTCACAGAGAAATTTTTCATAAAACCCCTTACTTATTCACACTTAACAACTTAGATAAAAAGCATGATCACATTATTTCAGAAGCACTCTCAGATATTCAAGCATACGAATCATTTCACGAAAAATTTCAAACATTTTCACTAACCTTTCATTTTCTCACACCAAAGGAACGTGATTTGCACTGTTCACACGACATCATGTTACGAACTAAACAAACGCACACCTACATTTATTATCGATTTATCCAAAATCATTTTCGTTTACACACACCATCGCGAACTAACAGTATGACTAAGAAAAGAACACCTACGGTAGCCAAACTGGATTAAACCAGCTTAAAACTGGATAATTTATTCTTTTGAAGACTATTAACAAGTCTAAAAAAGAAATCATAAAACACCAAAAAGTCGCAAGACAAACGCAAACCAAAAACAATTTGATTTTTGAGAAAACGACACAACCAACGACACGAAAGGAAAACCAGAAATAATATAACATAAAAAGTTAGCACAAAACAGGACCCCTTAAAACACCAGCAAGAAATCATACTCCCACTCCTGGCCTAACCCACCAGAGAGGACGTCCTGAGCATGCTCTATAGCCGGCCTCACCCACCGTGCTACAACCACGCTTTGTGACCACATCATATTTTTGACAAGAGGTACTCAAGGGTGAGTAACTCTTAAAAATAACTGAACTAAAACTAAAACGCTTTTGCGAAAACAATTAACCAAAATCATAACTAAAAATCAGAATGAACAAAAATTTATAAAACGTAAATTATAATATGCAGTACATAGATCACGAACAACCGCAAAGACGAGCATCCAAAGACTAGACGACCCCATCACACTCAACGTATAGAATGGCTAAACACAACTGACATGCCGCTCACAATCACGACTCATAAAGGATTTAGAGTACGACTTGACTTCGCAGAAAAGGACTTCATTGAACCAGACCAATGATCACCTCGATGTTCAAGTATACGTACAGATCCGAGTTACAAGGCATCCCCTACAAACACAATCTTCACGCCATTCCCAGATAAGAATGATACTCGATCAAGTTCTCCACCCAAGCAGGACAAACAATCATAGCAAACCATTCTGAAATCAGATTGATTTCACCGGTGGTCGCAGTCATCGTCGAACAAACAACTAACAAGTTCATGTCGATGATTCTAGCTTCCTGGAGCTTTCTTCTCCAAGAACAAAACAAGAAATGATGCTCGCCAAATAACAACGACCAACATCCATCCTTCATTACAGATAGAAGATCTAAGATTCAAAACTCTGTAAACCCCGGATGGGTGGAACCAGATCTAAACTATATTTTTTATTATTGGTTATAAATTGGATATTTTATCACTATAAAATGTTTAATATTAACCAATCATGATCCATCTAACTAACAACCCACTTTTTTGTAAGTGCTGAAATTTGTGGTAATTTCAGCACCAGAGAGATTTGAATTTAACTTAGAAATTAGTTACCTCTCCAAGAGACCTTCTAGCAATCGCAGCAAGCCAGTATACTCTAGATCTATTGAGCCTAGCAGGACTAGTTAAACACCCTGAGACTAGTAGATATAAGAGTAAGATTAGGATCGGTATTAGACTAAAAAGTTGCACGAATCTATCCGGCCGAAAATAAGAAGCGTGACGAGCAGACGGTGTACCCTATCCGAAATTACTCTATGAGTTACACTTCGGTCCTAACTCAAAGGTATATTTTATTTTTATTTTTGAGCTGAGTTTGCCGTAGTATTAATTGAACTGTTTTAAAATCAACAGAATCGTTCACAAGATCAAAAAGTTGAATAGACTGCTCTTTTTGGGGCAAATACACGCCCATCTATTGTCGATCAGTATGAATTTTTTGATTGAAAAATTGTTTTAAAAAATAGTTTTTCCCTTAATTTTTTCCTTCCACATGCTTTGCAGAAAACTGAAACGATCTTCATCTTAAATCGTGTAAATGAGAGCAAATTTTTTCCCAATATCCATTTGGAAAGGTTTAGTTTGCCATTTACACTTTAATAGAACTAAATACATTTCGCGTTATTCATTCCAAATTAAAATGTAGTTGAGCAAACAGTCCTAAACATGAAGCATTAAAATTTTTCAAAAATACGCAAAGAAGAAACAATTTTTTAAGTTTGAGCCCTTCAAATGAATACTTTCAAATTTTTGATAAAAAAACTTCGTCAAAATTGCTAGTTAAAAATTGTTTTCTGCAAAATCACCCATATCGCGAACAAATATTTTGATTAGTCGAATTATTATACTTTTTGAGAAATGAAGAATCATAAAAAGCACCATTGTTTCAAATTCATTGTAGATTCGATTTCTTTCGTTTGGTTCTTAAATACATGTATTCTTTCTTATCTTCATCACTTTTTAGGTTTAAGACGCAATTAACGTTTTCTCAGTTTCACGTCCCTATGTGGCAGACACGAAAAATTCTAAATTATTTTCAATCTAAAATTAATTGTGATACAAGGCTGATAATTTGGTATCAATTTAAGTTTAAGCAAAAACACTTGGTTGGTTGTCGAAAAGGCAACTTAAATTAAAAGCCTATGAGCAAATGATTACCGCTTTCAAACAATCTGATCTTTAAAAAAAAAGTTCAGGGTTATTAAAAGATTAGCATAGATTTTTAGTAGCCGTCAACGAGTAAAGTATATTATGATACATTCATCATTTAAGTTCTGTGATGTAACCCTGATAGCAAAAAGAAACCCAAAACAAAACTAACAAAAAATTGACAAAGTCTTGGTTGTCTTGAATACAAACTTCTTGAAACTTGTTTTTTTTTGTGCGTATTAATGAGACCAGCAATTAAACTTTCGTCAAATTTTAGAAAAGAAAATTACACGTAGTTCTACTGTTTTATTGGCTTTTAATCGAAGAAGTTTTTGTCAAAATTACTCCTAAAAACTTTGTTGTGGAAAAAAATCCAGGTTTAAGTCATAAATTGATAACAGAAAATGGTCGATTTTGATTCCAAAGTGAATAATTTTTGCTTGCCGTCAACTTTTGCTTCAACTTTTGCTTGCCGTAATTTTTTGGATACCATCCAGCTGGATGCATCACTCAAAGTTCGCGAGAAAATTTTCTTCCAAGTCATCTGTTTGTCCACAATTACTGGTATCGTCAGCAAATTTTGTGGCATCGACAATTTGCAAGTATTTGGTAGATTACTACCAAAAATCAGAAAAAATAGCAGCCAAAAGGGACCATTTGGTACACCACATTCCTATTGGTTTTATTCAGTGGCGTGCGCGGAAACTTTTCTAGGGGGTTCAGTCTTTCGAAAAATTTAGGTCGACCAAATTCATTGCCAGAGCTCTCCAAAAATACTATCTGGACCTTATTTTATCAAAATTTTTTGCCTCGAGCAATTTTCCAAAAAAGCCAAAAAACGTGTTTTTTGGCACTTTTTGAACAGTTTTGACAAATAAAATTGCGCTTGTTTCCGACCGCGCTCCCCCTTCAAAATTGGCGCCTTAAGGAAAATGTTTAGGTTGGTCAGCCATTAATAGATGTCGCAAAATTATACCAAAGGGGAGACCCTTTGGAAACATTTGGCAACCAGAAATGAATGGAAAGGCCGTTCCCCCCTCGGCACGCTACTGGTTTTCTTGGTTATTTGTTTTTCGGTAGCCCAATTTTGTTTATGTTTAGTTGCGGCATACACAAGTAACGACATAGATTTATTGAATTTGTCAAGGTAAAAAATGATTTCATGAAATCAGCACGCATAGCTACCCAGAACTTTTTAACTGTTCTCTCCTCACTGCAAAACGAGGGGGGGGGGGGGGGGGGGGGTGGAGGTGGTGGGGTAGAATTTTTTGGAATCAACAACTTGTGTTTGCTTAGCCGTCATACTCCCGCATAGGGGTGAATCCTGTAATAGGTACCATAGGGGGGCAGTTAATAATATCAGCTGCCCTCTCCTCCATAATATCGACTATATTCATTATCATCTGTACTGTTTTTCAGTTCAAACTCAGAATCAAATTCCACCAACTCCAACTGTGAAATCTTGCAGCGGGTCTGAAACAAACAGAAAATGCCGATCAGAGTGGGAGAGTTCTTGCCCAGTGCCCAGATGACGATCGGGTCCCCCGGAAACAAAATCGACATCCGCGACTACTGCCGATACAAAAAGGCATCTTTTTAAATTGAAGCCCCCTCCTGATTGGTTGAAAATTTATAATAATTCGTAATTATAATGCGAAAAATAATTTAAAAAATTGAGACCAAGTGAACAACCTCCTTCTCAAATCAATTAGGAAAATCTTTTCAATTGGTTGAATTCAAATTTTTCAACTAATTAGACTTCAGCTTTCTGTTATGGTGTTTCACTGTTCGAAACTACTGATTACTTAAGGAGCTGATCACTTTTGGGCGAGGGACGAATTTTTATTTGGTTCATCTAAAGAAGTTCGATTGTTCACATGGTCCAAAGATTGACTGCTAAAAATAAACAGCAAAAGGGTATTATTAGTACATCAAATTTATCTAAAACTGCATTGTTTAAAGTGATCAATTAAGACTCAGAACGTTGTTTGACAGCAAAGAAAACAACAATTACAGGGCAAAAATACAATGGGTGAATTTTTAATTGGCTCCCAAAGGCCATTACAAGGAAATGTGAAAACTCTCGCTCAAAAATTGCATTAACAGCTAAACTTTTCAAAGTTTGTTCAGAACTAGTTTGGTTTGGAAATTGTAACCTTACAAGAATCATTTTGAACATGTACCACTTTTTCTTTTTGTTTTTCTACCAATTTGGAATCAGGTATTGATAACGAAAAAAATCAAAAGTACCTTGCTGACCAGACGGCGAATCATACAATTTCTGCTTAGCGAAAATTGGTTATCATTTGATTTATTAATATCTTTTTCTCGTAAATGGAATTTATACCATTTTTTAAATATTTTTACAAAAAGAATTGGATGATAACTATTTTGTCTAACGATAAAAATCATTAAAACTTTTAGACCAAAAGAACAATCTCCCCCTAAATCAATTCTCCCCCTAGATCAACTATAGAGGCCTTCACGTGGAGGTCATGTTGAAATATTTTACTTTTGTAAAACATGAGCTGACATCTACTTATTAAATTTATATCTGAATCATAGGTTTCACGTTTCTATCTGTCTTCATATTTTGCCTTTAAGTATCCTCAGGTAAGTTTGATCAGCTGTGGATTTTGCAATCAACCGCAATCATGAGCCCCAACAGAAAGTAAAGGGAAAAAACTGTTTCTATCTACTTTTAGATGCCAGCAGCTAACATCCGACAGAACAATAACCAGAAGCTCATTTATGCGCTCAAAAGCATGTCAAGAAAAATTACCCTAGAAAACTCTAACAATTCAGACAATTTTACTTTAAAATACCTTAAAAATTGAGAAAAAACTTGCACTACCTTATAAACACTTTACCTTTTTATACCTTAAATCACCGCAAAAGTTAAAGTTTATCAGCATTAATTGCCACTTTAAAATATATTTTTTAGTTAAAATTACCTTAAATTTTTTTCCTATATTTTAATTACCCTAATTTATACGACTAACAATAAAAAAATTAAGGTGAAATAACCTAAAGCATTAAGGTAAATTACAATAATTTTCTGAATTTTTAAGGTGTTTTTAGGTCAATTTACCTTAACTTTTGTATTTTTTTGGGGAAAAATTAGGGTAAAAATACCCTAATGATAAGGTAATTATATTTTTTGGGGGAAAATTAGGGTAAAAATACCTTAATGATTAGATAAAATACGTACTTTTTTTTAAGTTTGTATGCTGAATTTATCTATAAAATAGTGCTAAGGTTTTTTAAGGCTGGTAACATTTAAGTTTCCCCTTATTCCATTCTCAATTTCAAGCAAATCCCAAAATTAATAACAAGGCAAAAATTGCTAAATTAATCCAAAAAAAGGTTTTTTTTTTAAATTTCAAACTCTTTAATCGGTGCATTTTTCTTTGGTACTCTTGAACTTCCTCATTCTCCCCCATTTAGAATTTTTATTTGAAATTTGTAAAAGCATGTATATTAAGATGAAAAGGAACAGGTTGATTTTGCATTTTTAATCTCAAGATAATGATGTTCATCAGTATTTTTGAACCAGAACTTCTTATGAATCACAGGGGCGATGCTTCGCTTCACAATGACTAGCGAGAACACGACTTTTAAGAAATGCAATAATATAAAGTATAAATAAGCCTCGAGTTAGTAAAAAGTCGGCTAGATCTCGTGTTCGATCTGCAACCTACTGCGACCTAGAGATAAAGATTTTCACGCATTACCCAATCAGCCACGCGCCGTAAAGGCATCACAAACACTAGAGACAAAAAATTGCAGAAAACAGATGCCAAGAAAATTTCAATTCTTGATCGTGATTATAGCAAAATTGCCTATAACAACATTTTCCTTTTTCGATGAACACTTTTATTTGTGAGTTAGAGGTTAGAAAAACAAGTTTCTATCAAAACACTACTATGATTCAAATGTAAAAACGCATGTCATACAGTTTCCACACATGCAAAAAATTATGGACAATATGACAAGCATTTTCAGTCTATGGAGGTCAATCACAGCACTTCAAATGAAGCAATTTTTTTCAGCTGTAAATAAATATTTCACCAAAAAAAATCAGGAAAAAGTCTTTTTGTTTGTCAATACAAATGACCTGGGATATGAAACATGGGCTAAGTTGAAGGAGGGTTTAACTTGAATCCTAGTTGGAATTTCCATCCTTCTCAAAAGAGTCTCAGCAATTTAGATTAAAAATAATAAGTGTGTTATAAGATCTTATTCTGTTTTATAAAGAATGTGTTTTAAGATGATCCAATAACAAATAAAAACATCTAATTGATAGTTTGAAATAAGGGGGCGGAGGCTTAAAAAGAACCCTGAGTGTAGACACTTCTTGTGGGCGTGGTCGGAGCATTCACGCCAACATGCAACTCACAAGTGCCCCAGATAATAGCAGAAGCCGATGAGCTGAAAACGAATGGTGTGGATCAGATCGCGTGCATAACTGTGAATGACATCTTCGTCTGCAACGAATGGGCGAGACTTCTCAACTTCGGAGACAAACTTGAGATTTGCATTTTACCCATTATAACCTCATATCTAATCCAGCACAATAGCCAATAATAGTCAAAAATGGACGGAGAAGAGCAGGGCGGGGGGATCTTAGGCAATCGATCTCATTTTTAGTTAAATTTTGATATATTTGGAGTGTTGGTCAAACTATCCTAAAATTTGTCTACAGCAAATTTATATACCTAATGTTTTGTGTCAAACGTTTCAAAAACAAATCACTTTTTTCCAGAACATTTCAAATTTGCCCAAAAAAAGACATTTTTCAATCATAGTTTTGCGCTGAAGATGTTTTTTCGATGTTTTGGAGAGTTCAAAAAATCAAGTTGGTGGACCAAAAAAAAATTGGAAAATCGCATGCTCCTCGCAAAAATCTCAGTTCCGTTGATGAATAGCTATAAAACACACAAGTGCAAGTATACAAACTTTTATACATTACTGGATACGAAAAAAAAACGAAATAAATAACGAAAATGTACCTTTCTTCCAAGTTATCGTAAAGAATTTGGTTACTTTTCCCCTCTAGTGGTTTGATGGAGCAAATTTATCAGAGCAAGTTTGTTGGTTCAAGATTAAGTGGACAATAATGGGGAAAAGAGATGTTGTAGATCCTTGCTGATGAAATGGGTGAGTTCGCACAGGCCATTGGCATCACAGCTGACAATCTGGTCGACCTCCTCGGCAATGTCAGATCCGGGAGGTTTCTGATGCTAGTGGTGGATAACAAGGTCAGAATTTTCTCATTATTTTTATACTTATCTTTGAACTTTCTGATTTTTTTCTTATACATTTTTTTTTGTTTTCTTATCTAAGCGGCCTTTATTCAGCTTCTTCCTCTTACAACCATCATTCCTCGCCATATTTGTCCTCTTAAGGATACAAAAAAAATTCGATCAAGCTTTCTAAAAAGTGGTTCAAGGGGTCATGTCTGGCCTGTTTTTTTTTGAACGTCTAAGTTTGTGACAAACTTTTCGAAACTCCGTTTCTTTGCCTCCCTCTCACGTATTTACCTCATCTTCTCTCACTCCGGTCAAGTGTGTGGTGAGAGGGGGGGGGGGGTAAGTATGGAGGAGGAAAGGGAGATAATTGTGAGGTCAAGTGAGGGGGGCTTAAATGTGTGTGTAAGAAATGAGGAGAGTGAGTTTAAGTCCGGGTTGCCTTTCTCTTAGAGTAATTTCGGATAAAGTACACCATCTGTTTGTCGCTCTACCTTATTTTCGGACGGATAGGGTCGTGCACCTTCTTTGTCTAATGCCGAGGATGGATGTTTTGAACTGTATAGATTCTTTGAAGAGGGTGAAGAGAAGAGTGGCTTTTGCTCTTGTGACATAGTAGTCTTCATGGAGAAAGTAGAGATTTGAGAATACTATAGTGAGTTGAAGGATGGAGTCAAGGTTGCAGATTGATATAGTGATGATTCGATTTCGTTAAGTAGAGCAATACTATGTGCATTCTCAACTATTTAACAAATAGCGAGATAGTGTTTGAATTCGCTGAGTGAAGCGCAAGTGACTAGGATCCGTTTTTCTGAGTTCAAAATAGAGTTAGCCGTTGTTCTTGCTCAATGGATAACTTTGCTGCGATCTTGGCTCTATACTTTGTATCCTGCGAGGGTTGTGACTTCGGCAAATATAACCAATAGATTTGCCGTTCCAGAGTTGGAATGCCGTCGAAGTTTCATCTCCCTTTTGCTGCTCGTTTCTTTTCTCTGAGAAATCGTTTATATAATAATTATCTGCACCATTCTAGTAAATTCAGCTGTAGTTATGATCTTTATTAGTTCTTTTTCCAAAAGTGTTTTAATTAGTTCGGCTCTTGTAAAGAGTTGTTCACCCTATAGCTACCCTTGGTAAAAAGCGTGGGTAGGAGTTCTCCGTACAAGTTGAGCCGTACATGTTGAGGCCAGAGGAGAACACTTACCGGTGTCTTCTTGAGTAAAGTCTCAATTTGTGTGAAAAATTTTCTCGATTATATAACTAGGTTTAATCTAGTTTTGGTACCCTGAGGCTTTCCTGTAATTGTGGTTGGTATATTGGTGTTAGTTAGACTGCATTGTTTATTTAAGCTTAGCTTCAATTCCTACTTCCAACCGGGTTAAGGGAAACTTCGAAAGGTGTGAAAGCGAGTAAAATAGTTATTAGTTAGCTTGTCAAACTAGAATTTCATTAATTTTCAAGTATTGTAGGGGCGAATTACGTTGAATTCTGTGGAGATAGTGCGTGTAATAGGGCCCGTCAAATAGTGAATTTTATCAAGGAAAAACTATAGCACATACGGATATTATTTCTTATCTTAATTTATTAGTCTTTAATAAATCAATACTTTGTATAGGGATTTTACGACATAAATTTTATAATTCATTGCTGCGTATAAATGGTTTTGCGTTTTATAAATTTATAGCAAACAATTTGCAATTTTGTTCTGACGAAACCTCTATAAATAACTACATTGTTTGCATTTTCGTTCAAAATTTATATTTTTATCAGAAAAATTACTGGTGAAATTTAAGAGAAAGCGGTGAAACACACGTTTAAAAATGGTAATTGATAAACCTTAAAACTTAATGAGTGATGTATATAAATTCATACTTACTGAGGGTCGGATTTTGACAAAAATCCCTTGTGAAAGTTAGTTTTAATTGTGGGTGAGCACTTTACGATTTTTGCAAGCATTCGACTGGCATTTTTAGTACGTAAAAGTGGCCAAAGAAGCTCTAATGCGGGGTTGATGTTGAGTTCTTTGGGATGCTGATCTTCAGCTGGTCACAGAGATGCATTGAGCAAGAATGGGAGATTTTCAATTAAAATTTGCGGTGTATTAAAATGGCTAGGTTGATGATTGGTGAGTTAGCCAAAGTCTTGGTAGGTACTTTGTTTTTATCAGGATTTGCTGTGCACGGACGGAAGCGTTGCGATGGGATGGTAAGAATGATTCCGAGAGGGGAACGGAGCAGGTTAATTTATAGATAGTAACTTGCTGGTTAGTATTGTGAAGCTGCTATTGGTTTTGTATAAAATAATCGAGGTCATGCTCGAGCTGGTAATCAGTCATGGTGCTAGGCGTATCGGGTACATTACAGGAAAGAGAGGAAAGAATGGGGGTAGCGTCGGTGTCGGAGGAGCTGGACGCGGAGGGTACTTAAGTATTTGGGGAATTTATTTGGGCAAAATGTGGCCGCGAAAAAATAGTAGAGCTTGGTTCGGAGTCTAACAAATTTTTGGCGTGGTTATTTAGTATACTGTGAGCATAAAAAACAGTTTGTACGGATTCATCGGAGTGCATATGAGTTGAGTTAGAGGAAAACATAGAAAAACTAGGGCTAAAAATAATAAGAGAGAAGAGGTGAGATCGGAAATTGATATGACAGAGTGCTGTCGGTGTAGGTTGCAGGGATAAGAGAGAGAACGGTTCAAAGATCCAATCTGCCGGCTCATCGTGGGCCAACAAGATGGTTTTTTTGAGCACAAAGTTTTATACTATGCGGTTGTTTTATTATTTGTTCATATGTTTCATCATTTTTCTGTGGCTGTTATGCTATATGTGGAATAGAGCTTCGTTGTATGTCATAATTTCGTTAGATGCGTGAAGCTAATGAGAATGTAGTCCAATAGTTTTGTGGTTTTATTGTGAAAGTGCCGTATTTGCAGTGTTTTGTGGAGTATCGTATGTGTTTGGTTTTGCTAATAGTGTTTTTGTTTTTTTCGTTAGTTTGTGCGTCTGGGAGAATCTTTTTGAAAGATTAGGAAAAAACTTCAAAAAACCTGCGATTATTATTTTTGCTAACTAGCTTGTTTCTTGACTTGTCCGAAGATTGCACATGTATTGTATATTCCATTGAGAACTGAGAACATTGCGTATGATTCTGTCAATCTTTCTAGGATGTAAGCGGGCCATCCTAAAAACGCTGGGAGATTGCTTTTGATATGCAAAAAACTAAATTATTAATTGGTGAGAAGTTTTTTGGACGGAGTTTTCTCCTTTTAGGTATATATAATCATTGTTTTTTTAACCCATCCACTGTAGTCTTGTTTGTTGATATTTGAGAAATCTGCTGTTTCAGCGAATTTTCTGAGTTTTGATCTACAGATGGTTGTTGGATAGTGTCCATTTTTGTAAGAAGTTCCTGAAACTGTTGCGTAAGTATTCGGTGTTATGTATCTGATTCAGAGTATATGCCTATGAATTGTAAATTGATATTAGGATTTCGAGCTATTGCGCGTATACTTTCGGATAAAAAATTTTTTGAAGGAGGAAATAAGGTGGGGTATGGTTGAGAAGATAATACTTATCTTCGTTGGGATCAATTTGCACTACATTGTGACTGTATTTTGATTCACATGGGACAGCGGTATCTCAAAAAATGTTGGTCTTTTTATTGTATCAACAAAATGAACTTAAAAAAAATTGGTGTTCCTTGGTAGTATCTTTTACCTTCGAATGCATATAGTGGTGAACCAACTATATTGCATGAATGGTCCCAGAGGATTTTTCTTTTAGGATCTAGAACTTTTGAGGGGTTGCCTGAGAGTAAATGTCCTGCATAGGGTTTTACTTACGGCTTATGCTAAAGATTTGTGTTCTTTCTAGTTCGCATAAAGGATGTAATGTTTCAAACTTGGGTAGTTACATTTACAAAATATTTCTAGTGATAGTATAGTCGATTTTCAAGTCGACATGAATGTCATAATGGATTGCGCCAAAGTATGTGCTATTTGTTGGTATGCGATCTTGGCTCTATACTTTGTATCCTGCCAGGGTTGTGACTTCGGCAAATATAACCAATAGATTTGCCGTTCCAGAGTTGGAATGCCGTCGAAGTTTCATCTCCCTTTTGCTGCTCGTTTCTTTTTTCTGAGAAATCGTTTATATAATAAATATCTGCACCATTCTATTAAATTCAGCTGTAGTTTTGATCTTTATTAGTTTTTTTTCCAAAAGTCTTTTAATTAGTTCGGCTCTTGTAAAGAGTTGTTCACCCTATAGCTACCCTTGGTAAAAAGCGTGGGTAGGAGTTCTCCGTTCAAATTGAGCCGTACATGTTGAGGCCAGAGGAGAACACTTACCGGTGTCTTCTTGAGTAAAGTCTCAATTTGTGTGAAAAATTTTCTCGATTATATAACTAGGTTTAATCTAGTTTTGGTACCCAGAGGCTTTCCTGTTATTGTGGTTGGTATATTGGTGTTAGTTAGACTGCATTGTTTATTTAAGCTTAGCTTCAATTCCTACTTCCAACCGGGTTAAGGGAAACTTCGAAAGATGTGAAAGCGAGTAAAATAGTTATTAGTTAGCTTGTCAAACTAGAATTTCATTAATTTTCAAGTATTGTAGGGGCGAATTACGCTGAATTCTGTGGAGATAGTGCGTGTAATCGGGGCCCGTCAAATAGTGAATTTTATCAAGGAAAAACTATAGCACATACGGATATTATTTCTTATCTTAATTTATTAGTCTTTAATAAATCAATACTTTGTATAGGTTTTTTACGACGTAAATTTTATAATTCATTGCTGCGTATAAATGGTTTTGCGTTTTATAAATTTATAGCAAACAATTTGCAATTTTGTTCTGACGAAACTTCTATAAATAACTACATTGTTTGCATTTTCGTTCAAAATTTATAATGTTATCAGAAAAATTACTGGTGAAATTTAGGAGAAAGCGGTGAAACACACGTTTAAAAATGGTAATTGATAAATCTTAAAACTTAATGAGTGATGTATATAAATTC